TTTGGACGTCCTTCGTCACGGCGCTGTGACGTATGCGGCCGATGAATTCGGCCTTCGGAGGACCCGGCCGGCTGTTTTGGACACAGCCTATGGAAGCGTTGTTTGAAGTGCGGAAGTGGGAGTGTCAAAAATGATAGGAGATTCATAAAGCACGGAGGCCAATTTCAAAGTGTTTAAATAGGCTATGAGGTGGAGTCACTGTTGATATACTGTATATACAGCATTTTCATAACAATTGTAGTTAACTCATTTTATTTTTGATTGTGGTATAGAATTGGAACAGGGGTGCGCCATCCGGGCCAGCAAAGCCTTCTCTGCTGCCCTAAGCACAATCAGATTCACTAGTTTCTATTTTAGAATATTTTACATTTATTATAATATTTATTAATATTATTATTAGGATAATATTATTTTTGAAACATCTGTTCTCTTCGTTTCACAGCTTTTCTCCTGGCTGAGCAGATTTAGAGCTTTTATCCAATCAAATTTACTTTCTGTCTCAATTAAAGGCCTAAATGCACGGCCCGCCACTGGAATTGAAGTATGTGCCTGGAAAACACATAACCCCCACCCTATTTTAAAACTTAGTTTACACAGCTGTATTGTTATGTTTTAAACATGCAAATTCTACCATTTTATTAGTTTAAGGATAATCCAGTAAAACAAATAAAGGGCTAGCATTTCTTGAGGGAATGCATATCACCCCACCCACTGCTTTTCCAGAGTTTAAAACTGTCCTGTTGAGAAATGACAAAGTTGTAACTGTTTATGTAGCTCAAAACATTTTGCTCGGACCGTAATTGATGGAGTTGTAGTCACTTGTGTTTGCTGAGGGTGATTAGTTATAACGGCCATCTTAAATGTGAATCAGTTGTAGTTTTGCTTCCTTTGACTAATATCTGAAAGTTTAATTGAAAGTCTGTTCATGAGATATTTTGCTAACAGAGTTCTCTACAATAGTTAATAACAAAGTTTTATAAACAGATCTTGCACAATCAGTTAGCTCTCAGAGTACAAGCTGGGGTTGACTCTACCTCACCAAAGTTCAGGTCTGCATCTGTAAAAGTGAGTTGTAGCTGTGGCAGCCATTTTTAATCRGAATGACTCTAAAAGTTAATCAGTTGTCGATGTACATCTAATTAAACCTGCAAGTTTCATTAAAATCGCCTCTTGAGATATTTTGGTAACAAACACACTAGTGTTGGTCAAAATCGTATTGTTTTAAAATCAGTTGTCAGAAAAACTGCCAAAAATTAATATTTGCTACTTTGCAATAGAGAATTTGCATTTCCTATGTGGATCCTTAATGCTAAAATATTTTTGCTGAATAGCTAAAAAAGTTTAAACTAGTCTGAAATAGCTTAAAAAATTAGCAGAAATTAGCACTAAGAAACAAAATGAGAACATATAAGCTGAATTAAACACTAAAATTAACACAAAAAGGGGAGTTTAGCTGAAAAATGAATGAGAAAATGAGTATTTATTTACTTACGTACCGTAGATTCTTTTAATATTCACTAGATAAATGTGAGATGAAATAATATGCACTTGGATTTTTTTTCTTCTTTTTTGTCTGACAGACAAATTGAGAGGTTGTGTTGCGGTCAGCTTTACCTGGATAAATGTCAACTTTTTTTTAGTACATTTGAACCGTATTAAATTGAAAAARGCTGTATTTATGTAGCTTCCCTGCTGCTAAAACCATGAACAGGTTTCTATTTTCAGAGCACGTTTTGCCTTGCACAGCAGGACGTAGAATTCATATTTTCTCAGAAATACTTTTCAGGTGACTCCAAATGTCGATTTGCACTGCAAACAGGTCATAATWTATCATTTGGATTTTGTTTGGCAGACCTGAAAATAAAATGTTCATTGTTTGCAGACGGTGCCTGAAGGCCTATTCTGTGTCCATATAYATTTATATTATGAGTTATGTTTGCAGAGAGACCCAATCTGCAGCTCGTGTGCATTTCATAACACTGTAAATGTCGTTTTTCTCAGCAGTTTTAATAAAAGACCACAGAGTGTGTAAGTGCTCATAYAGTAAAGTTAAAAGAGGTGGTCCAACACTCCTTGTTTCAAACCGTGTTTGTTCTCTGCTGCCTGTGAAAGTTTACCATCATTATGTGAGGGAAAACAAGCGTTCCTGTGGTGGTGATAGAGACAAACACTAAGTACACACAATCTTTCACCTGCAGCTGAAACCCAGACTGGGAGGCACTTTGATGAATAGACGAAGAAGCTTAAAGCCCAGCTGAGAGTTTGCTCCTGTTTTTAATTCTATCCTTTTTTGTTTGTTTGTTTGAAAGAAATGACGTAAAACTTATTTTTGCACTCTGTGGTTAGAGCCTATTTTTGAGATTGATTTTTTTAATAATCTGGAAGACCTTAGATCTCAGCTCCTGGTCAATTTAAATGCACTTTATGTTCAAAYATTTTTCTGAAACTTGTCACTTCTGATCTGGCTGATATGCTCACATTTTTAAAAAAGTTTGCTTTTGGACTCTGAAGAGAAAGAACACAGCAATAAAAAGTGATGGTGATGCAATCYAATCTAATGGTTAGAGCTTGATAGATTCAAGATATTTTGCAGTTTACTGTCAGATTGTTTTTTATTCAGCTTGTCACAATAATCAGTTAACTAGAGCTTCAGCTCCTGGTTGAAAGGACAAAGAGAGTAAATCATCTTTAATGATTTATTACCTAGAATTCTTTAGGAAAATGCACATCACCCACCACATTTCAGACAAGAAGTGACAGAGTTCTGCTTGTTTTGGTCAAACTTTGTAGTAGAAGTTAATCGTGATSTCATGCCACAAGATGTGTTAGTTCTTGAAGTGTGTATTGTGAATCACTCTCAGCTACTATCACATCAAATTTTAGCTTAAATATGCTAAATGGATTTAGTTGTGGTGACTGTGTGCTTATTTTAAATGGGTTTCACTTTAAAAGTATCATCAGTTCAGATCCAGTTAATAATTTCTGAGTTTGGTTAAAAGTTAAAAGAACCATCCGGTGGTTCATCGCATATTTTGCTAACAAATACACTCACAGATGTGAGCAAACAACAGGATACATATATTTTTCTTGTTTAGATGTTTTGCATTGGAAGATATTAGAGTATGTAAAGCTGCAGGCGTGTGTTACGATGACTTTAAGATGTTTATCTTTTAATAGTGAAAAATTGTTTTCWCTCTTTTTCCACTGTGGCAATCTTGCCAACGTTATATTGATTTCCTTGGTTTATTCTAGTGAGACTTCAATGAGAATTTCTTGCTTCAGGACGTTGGTGTACTCCATGCTTTTTTCCTCTATTTTTTTATGTTGCACTTCTTTTTTGTCCAGATTAGCAGACTTTTCTCCACTTGTAGTAGTTTGTTTTGATGAAGATGTCAGGTCTTTATTCTTGTCAGTAACAGGATACAGATCAGCATATTAGACTCAAAAGACTTGACTTGTAAAGAAATATATATTGCACTCCTAGCATTAGGTTTTATTTAAAATTACTTATAAAAAGCAGATATAATCAGTCAAAGTTTGATATGAACCAAACGTTTGTTTTTGTGGTAGGAGTAGGTATAAAGATAATAAACATTACAGTACAGAAGGGTTCTCAGTGTGTGGGGAAAGCATGTCCATGTATTAGTGTCAGTACTGGCAATCATCCACAGTGAGTTGGAAATATCAGCATATTGTCTCTTGGCAGAAATCCAGCATCAAGCTTGTTTAGTGTAGTTTCTCCTCAGCAGACGCCTCAACAAAGTCGTCCTTATGGATGCTTGAACGCCTCGCCAACAGATCCGAGTGTGGACACTGCAGGAGGTAGATGGAGTAAAAGGCCAGCAGACGAGCAGCCTGGCACACCAACCGACATACTGGTGTTGTGGTTAAGTCGAGAACATGTTGCAGCTCGCCCCTTTTGTTTTATCTTTGGCAGGGAGAGCAGTATGCACCCATCTTTCTTAGATTTGAAGAACTCAAACAATTAAGTTCATATTCAAGCCTTTTTAATTGATGAAATTCTCTCCCTTATTTCTTACTGTTTGTCCTTTTTTTTTCTCTGCAGGCAGAGACATGAGCCTCTCSCACTGAACGATATTGATGCTGAACTGGTGAGTTTTTGTATTTTTCAGTCCTGATTCGGTTCTTCCTAACAGCCCCACTGGCCCTGAACCATCTGGTAACAATTGCTGAAAAGACTCTGCAGAATAAAAGCTGCTACTTCAGTATAAGTTTCTTCTGTCCAGACCATCGGTCTCCTTCTGGCACATTAATAACCCAGCCTCCCTTAGAAATTACTACATTAAAATGTACAAGAAACATACGACCTCCTCCTGCCTGTAGGCGTAACGTGATAAGTTATGTAATCTCTATACATGCCCCATCTATCTTCATCTCTTTTGTCTTGTTTGAGGAGACCTCATTAGCACATGCAGATGCTTTTTCGTCYTGAAYGTTTAAAATTTCAAACAAGTTGCGCTGAGGGCCGGAGACAGCACACGTTATGCTGAATGATGCAAGCAACAAAGCTAATTTCTCACAGTATCATTCATGCGATGTGTTTCGTTTGCTGGTCCAGTGCCAAGCATCGCTCACTGATAAGTAGGTTGTTAGACTGCTGCTGCTGCTGCTGTATGCTTCTGTGTGCTCTCTCCTGTCAAGCTTGATTGTATAATGAAGTTGGGATGTGATTACTTTTTGGAATGTGTTTTATATCAATTATATACAGTATTCTACATTATTAATGTGTAGCATGGATGCTATACATCTTATTGACTTTTACAGGCTTTGAGTGTTTGTTTTTAGRGAATAGGCAGTACATTTTAATCATTCATAAAGTGCATTTGTTTAATAAGCACGCTGTCACTTCCATGTTAGAATAGATAACAGGAAAACAGATTTACTTTGCTAATGGAAAGYAGTCATTGAATTGGTTTAAAAAGATTGATGATATCAGTTTGAACGTTTTTTAAAAAATAAAAGCAGGACCTGACATGCAGGTATTCATGTATTAAACAAAGACAAAACACACAATAGGACAAATCAAGACGACAGAGTGGAAGACTAAACAGTAAGCAGTGAATATTCTGCCAGGACACTCAAAGTGTCAGCTTTCCACTGAGGGTAATTGCTCTTTTACTCATGTTTCATCTTTAAATTKATATTTTTTCCATAATCTTATAACAGACAGGGTCCTCTAGAGATCATTTAGGAAGGACTCATCTTCACTGTCTTTTTAGTTTAATGTTATTTATAGTTTGAGGCATGGGCTACAAAAAATGTGTGAAGGAACAAAATGTCTGAATTCAGTTTTAGTTTTGTAAAAACTTGTTCAAAATGCCCAACTTTGGTAAATAAATTGAATTCTGATTCTGGTCTAAGTATTTTTATATACAATGAATTTAATGTTGTGTTGTTGGGGTGTAGAACATGCAATCTACACAAAGGAATAAAATTAAAAATATTTAAAGACAAATACAGTATATAAAAAGTCGAGAATATACTGGTAAATATGAGAATGTAGACTAAATAAACTTACAAAACTTAACTTTACTGCAGTACGCACTAGACATCAGCCTGAAGAAGCATAAGAGAAGATATCCTTTAATATAATGTGTAATTGGGGGGAACAACATAACAATACGATGGGACAGAAAACAAAGAAAAATAACTAAAAGCATAATGGAACTCAACCTGGCAAAATATGAACAATAAATCATTTAATTTTTGAAATTATCTTTTAATATGAAAATATGCCTTCCATTAAAATGGATGTAAAAGCAAGGTAAAGTAATTATTTAGCACCAGTGGCAGCCAACTTGGAGGTTTTATGAAGATAGTCTTGCTTTACAATTACTGTTGAATACAGAATTCTAAGACTTTTTAAAATGAGATGTTACAGTGCTTCAAATGTAATTGTCCATATAAAGGTCGTTTTTATTAAAGGAAGTGTCTATGGASGCTTCAAGTTCCTCCATTTCATTGTAAACACTAGTAGGGCTCTAAAAAAGGAACTTAGTTTTTTTTGACAGTGAGTAATAACATAACAGCATGCAATAACAGTTGTTCAGGTGACTGAATTTGATTCAGAATATTTTAGGARGTTATTTTATTATAAAAGGTCAGAGACCTACCTCCAAATTGATTTCTGATTTAAAAAACCTTCATCTTAATATGTTATTGTTTTACTCTGCCCTCCCCATTTTTGTCTAGATATTATTTACTTGTTTTATKTTTCRGATTGYACAGTCTTGATACTTTGATGGTTGTACAGCTTTTATACTTTTTTGTTCCAAATTTTTGTATATCCTTTTCTGATTGTATATATTTTGATTTGCCTCTGATTGTACAGCACCTTGTGAATCTATTTCTTTGAAAGGTGCTACGTATATAAATAAAATTTTACTTTACTATAAAAATACTATATTATGTAATTTCTTGCTGATGACAGTAGTTATTTATAGGGATGCCAGCCAATTTTGTTTTTTCACTAAAATGGACCACCGTTTCATACAATTGACATTTCAAACCAGATAAATTTGAAAAGGTTACTACTTTGCACCCATGACCTTGGCATATACATGTATCCCTTTGTACATACAACCTTGTGTTTATCCACTTGACCCACTTGACACACCAAATCCATGCTGCCCAACACAGGATCAAGCCGTTTTTTTAATTTCAGATTAAAAAAAAATAAAAATATAATACAATAAATTAAATCACCTGCAGTGGGGTAAGTGTAACCACTTAATCACAATTTGTAAATTATGCTCCTGTCAAGTATATATCATTGACGTTTTGGTGTTTTGAAGTGGGCGCTGCTTGTATGAAAAACAGATAAATCACAACCTGACTTGTGTCAGGGATAACATTATAAATTATTTATATCGGCACAGATTTCCTTCATTTTGGGAGATCGGCTGATACGTAGAAAAGATCGGCTTCTCATCTACCTCCACAAAGGTCTGAAAATCAGTCCCCTTTCAAACTACTGTGAGCACTACCTAATGTTCAGTTAAAACAATTTTGTATTGTTTCAAAGGTATTGTTCAGTGTTTTACAATAAAATAGGATTGGAACATTGAAGGTGTATTGTGACCTTCAGAATCAGCTRGGGAGACTTTTTAAAGATTGGCCAGAAAACTGCAATCGGTGCACCCCTAAAAATTAAATTATTTAGGGAGCATACTGCAGATTTACAAAAATAAATAAATAAATAAATGAGACCCAGGGTTTAAAACAATCAGGTTGGTGGACAGACAAATATATATTATCAGTAAATATTTTGGTGATAATCGGAAAAATTTGATTCATCTCTATGATGTGCAACAAATCTCTGTAGTATTAGTTCCAAAAGGTAGTTTGGAGCCCTGGCTCGAATGAAGGYCAGTTATTTTATATTAAAACAGAAAACCACATTGCTCCACACAGTGAAGATGCCAGTGCTATCAGCAGCAGCTGTCATGCTTCAGCACTGACTGGAGCATCAGTAGTGTCAACACACCTAATCTCCCACAGCAAATATTTACATAGATCCCACACCCTGAAACACTGTCACACCCCGGCTTCATTTCTAGACGTCATCATTCACAGAAAGCATGTTTGTGTCTCTTTGAGCTTAACCAACAGTTACTTTGTAATGAACATGTATCTTTGAAGTGTATATTTGATTTCTTGAAGTGAAAGAAACTTTATTATTACTATTAATACGATTATTATTTATTATTTAAGTTTTTATTTATAGAATGAAGATTATCATGTTTTTAGTCTCATTATCGCCCGCTGCTGAAAACTGATTATATCTTTTGGTCTGTCTGTTATCAAAATGTCTCACGATCCACTGGAAATATTATTTATTTATGGACGCACATCTAGAATGTTTTCCCATATGGAGTCAACCAGAATCACGATGGCTGCCAACTGACCTTTTAAAACACAAGTATTGCTCTACATCAATTTTAAAGTAAAGACCTAAAATGATTAGGAGATGCAAATAATCCCCAAAGCATATGCTGAGCCCTAACAGATTGTACAAGAATTATATTTGAAAAAGTTAATTGGCATGAACAAGCTTCTTGCCATATGGTGTGAGAATGAGCATAACATTATTTTCAAGGTTTGGTTACAAACGACTTTGACTTTTTAATTTCTCAACATAGAAGATGATCTTAGTCTAAAGACTTCAGAGACCTTTAATATTTATAATATTTTTATTATTTTCCATTAAAGACATTTGAAGAAATGTTTAACAGTGTCCTTCAATTTGTGAACTCAAATCGGAGTGATTTGTGACAAAATGTTGTCATCAAAGGCCAAAGGAAAGACAAGAGACGGAACTGGAACTGTCAGAGGTAAAGATGTAGAGGTTCTCGTTGCGAATGAAGAGAATGGACAAGGTTAGGAATGGGATGATCTAAAGTTCAGCCCTTGTTAAATAAAGTTAAAGAACGGTTTAGTTTCACTCTCTGCTCGACTCAGCCCCAGTTTGTCTCATCTTCAAACACAGCTTATCGTGTCAGCCCTCGCTGGTTCAGACGTCGTAAAGCTCTGCAGCGTCATGTCTTGCTGCTTAAAAACACAGATCAATGATGAGAGCATGTGCCGTCACTACAGTGTCTCTGAAGAGGGACTACAATGACAGGGTATTCTTCGCAGACTCTCAGCCAGCAGCAGACTTGGAAAGGGCGGGGGGNGACAGCAATGTGAACGCAAAGAGAGGGAAACGTTCACTGTTACGCCAACAGATGGGAGCTGCAGTCACTGAGTCAATATTTACTCTTTCTTGTCAAGGAATTGGCAGCGTTAGCTTAGCTGAATCAGTAGCACGCTGCAGGAGGATCCCAACGGGTGTGAGAGGCTTTGAGGAATAAAAACAGCACTTTGGCCATGAAGATTGTTTCTTGGCTACACGTGTGGGACTAAAAATACATCGGCTCTCCTCTCTGCTCTTCTGTTAAATGCACACTCTCTTGCAATGTGCACATTCACTTTACCCATGGCTCAATCCACTTTGGGATTACATGTGAACGTAATTTGCACTTCCAATTAAACTGTCGACCTTCGCTCCAGAATGCAAAGCTTGACTTTGTACCATCCTCAACTGGATTGC